ATATATATTTTTAGAAATGTGTATTATATTTTATAATATGTATATAATATATATGTTATATATATTATATACATATAATATATATATATTTTATAATATATATATTTCATATATATATATAATAACTTTCTTTTAGAAAAGAAAGTTGGCCCTAGCCAGTTTGGCTCAGTGGTTAGAGCACTGGCCTGTGGACTGAAGGGTCCCGGGTTCGATTCCGGACAAGGTACCTCGGTGGCAGGCTCGATCTGTGGATCCATGAGGGAGGCAGCCAATCAATGTGTCTCTCACACCCCNCTCGGTGGCAGGCTCGATCTGTGGATCCATGAGGGAGGCAGCCAATCAATGTGTCTCTCACCCTGCCCCCCAAAAAGCAATAGAAAAAAAAATCCTCAGATGAAGATTTTAAAAAAACACCCTAAAAACCACAGTCATTAATGAACTTAATGTCATTGTTGCATCGGTACAGGACGGACAAACAGACCAGCGGAACTGAACACCGACCGACACGCACACAGTAATTCCATTCATGGAGAAGGGGCACCGCCAAGCGTTAGGCCCTCACCAAGGAGGGTGGGGTCCGCCTCCCGCCCCAAAGTGGTCCAGATGCGGAGACAGGTGATGCCGCTCACACGTCAAGAGGTAGGAAGACACCGATTACTCATCCAGGGGTCTTTCTGGGGCGAGCACGGCACACACAAAAGCAGCCCCAAAGGGCCTGAGCGGCTGGAGAGCCAGCGGGAGGGAGTGACTCCGAGACTGGGGGAGGCGGCCGCGGAAGAGTGAGCACGCGGTGGCCGGTCTTGTGTGGCTCGAATTTGCCGCCAGCACGACAGGAGCTCGGGGGCTCACTGAGCTTGCCTGGCTGTGGGGCAGAAGGAAACGCAGGAGGTGGGGTCTGAAAGCTGTCAGCGGTCACACACCAAAAACGGAACGAGAGCAGAGCGGAAATAAAGGGCGCGGGCCGGCTCGAGGGCCACGGCTGAAAAGACGAGTCCTGACGCCTAGCACACGGCACCCACGAGGACAGCTATGCCCCGGATCTCAGTGGTGGCTCTGAGAAAGCTCATGGCCATAAACGCCTGGGATTTTTGTACTTGTCTGCGTATGTCCTACTTTAATTAAAAAGCGTGTTTTTCAGTGGTATGGCCTGTACTGCTGGGCTTCCGCACTATGCAATGAAAACAAGGGCTTTGGAAAGGTGACTCCCCGAGGCTCCGCCCCCCGTCCGTCACCTCTGTTGCTCAGTGCAGCTGGTCACTGTGAGGTGGGCTTGTCAGTGACGGGAGGGGCCCCGGCTGGGATGAGACTAGAGAAGGCAACACAGTAGGGGCAGGGCCTGATCTTGCAGCGTTTTCCCGCAGATTCCATCTGGAGCAGGGGCTCTGCCCGCTGTCGGGGCACCGGCAACGCTCCCATCTGGGAGTCAGCTCCCTGCTGCCCCGATGCCCCCTGGTGCAGCCAGGGTCAAGGCCACTCGGGGAAGATCCCCAGGCCGGGATCCCTTTTGATAGCCCAGTTTCTGGAGATAGGGGCCAGCCAACCTCTCCTACACACACTCACACTCACACTCTCTCACACAGACACGCGCGTCATCCAAGGCGGGAGGGGGTCTGTAGCAGCCCCAGGCTGTGTGAGCAAACACCTAGGAGACCCTGCAGCGTCGCTCTGGAGACTTAGGGTCGTCATGTATGTTGCTTCCCACAGGCCCAAGCACAGCTCTGGCATAAGAATCGTTCTGACTTCAATCAGCATCTCCTTGTGCATCCAGGAGCATGTGTGGTAAAAATCAGTTTGGGAAATGATAAGTTAAAAAGAATCGAGTTCCTTTCTTGTAGGACTTATCAGGGCCTTTAATCCAGCTCTTGGGGGCTCAGAACAGACAGCGCGTCCCGGCCTGACCTGAATTTGGATCACTGTTTCCGCGGAGATCTCGCGGGGCTCCGCAGAGCTCCGTTTGAGAATGCCAGCCCAGACGCTCGTGTCGTTAATTAGAAGGAGACGTAATTAATTAGATCTGAATATTATTAATAAAAAATTCCATCCAGAAACGGCTAACTTCCTTCCATTTAATCACACTAATTACGTTACGCTCGACCTAGTAGCAGCTCGTAGGGCTATTTTCTTAACACATCTTTCATCTTTTAGAAAAAGGTGTCC